ATTGAGGAGGGCACATTCTGCATGGAGCACTGGGTGTTATGCACAAACAATGAATCATGGAACACTACATCTAAAACTAACGATGTAATGTATGGGGATAATATAAGAATAAAAAAATTAAAAAAAAAAAGATGGTTGCAGGAGTCTAAGGACAAGAGGAAACGTGAACGCCAAAGAATGGAGGCAGTTCGCTGCCTCCACCATCCATTTTACATCCATTGTATTTAAGAGTCTCATGCTCTACCGACTGAGCTAGCCGGGCGCTGGTCATCCATTGTATTTAATCCTCACAACGAACGGATGTTGCAGATATCTCATTTTATAGCAAAGGAAACGGAAGCTCAGAAAGGTTAAGAAAGTAAGAGGGCCAGGTGTCCAATCCTAGATTTAAGTGATCCAGTCTCTACCCTCTGCTGCCTGAGGAGTGCATGTGGACAGAGAAGCAGGTGAAGTCAAGAGACCTTCAGTGAGGAGGTACAGCAGGAATGTGGGGTAGGGAATACTGCTTTTGTTATTGCACCTGTTACGTTTGCAGTGTTAAGACTGGACTAGGTGTGTCTGCTTTCACGGAGAGGTTTGTTTTCCTTGCAGTTTTGTTTGCATCTAAGTGGTGGCTTTCTGCAGAAGGGGAACGGATGAGTATCAGTTTCTCTTACTACAGGCCCTCCGCCCCGCCCCCCCCCACCGATCCTTCCCAACGGAGACCAGATTCTTCTAATGATCAGTCCCTAAAGAATGTGATCCTAGACTTTCCTCCAAGCAGTGAGGCTCAACCACTGGAAATGCCTCTCAGAATATCAAAACACTCACTCGCCCATTCTTTCATTTAGCAGCAAACGCTGAATGGTTACACCAGCCAGGCCCTGCTGGCCCTTCTGGGAACTCAGGCTAGCAGGAGAGGTGGTAGCTGTAGCAGCTCGCCGAAGACTCACCTAAGCAGTCCAAGCACCCCAACAGGGTGTCATTAACCCTGCCTTAGGGGTCGGGAAGGCTTGGTAGATGAGGGGACATCTGGATTCCCTCTTTCCCTTAACCCAAGGTAATCTTTAATTTGACTATTAAGGAAAAATACCTCATTTAAAATCTTTATCATAAAAGGAACATATGCTTTTTAATAAAGGATAATCAAAACAATCAAAAGTGCGTAAAATAGAAAGTGAAAGCATCCCTTCATGGTTAAAGTTTGATCCATGACATTTTAGATTTTTACTACATATATAAATATATATATATATGTTTTTAAATGATTCATGCTGTATAGCTCTGCAACTTGCATTTTTCCTCCCATTTGGCAGTATTTAATGGACATCTTTTCATGTCAGTTCAAGTACTGTCAGATACTTTTTAGCAGCTATGCAATATTTCATTCTGAGGATGTGGTATAATTGACTTAATTGGCCCCCATTGATGGGCACTTGGATGGTCTTTCAAAGGGTGAATAGATCTTCCACAAATAGAACAGGAAGGGACAAGAGACAAGGCTGTGTGAGTTTCCGGCCTGTGTATGGGCTGGAGAATAGTGTATGCTTCTAAATAGTAATTCGCTATCAGTCCAACATACGTTAGGTGGGGTTGAGGGAAGTGAGGCCAGGTGAGCAGAGCATCGCCGACTGCTCTGAGAAGTTGGGATGTTTTTCTGCAGGTGGTAATGGCCAAGGGTGGGGGCATTGAAGGATTTTGATGGAGGGATTGAAATGACCAGATTCATGTGTTTCTGAGCTTCCTGGAACAGCTATGGGTGGGCGGCACTGAGGGGACACTGAAGATAGCCTATCTGGGAAGCTACTCCACCAATCTGGGCCAGAGAGGAGGGATGGAGCTACATGGCACAGTGCCAGGCACTGAGAGGAGAGGGTGGATTTGAGACATATTTGAGGTGGTGCTGATAAGATATGGAGAATGGTGGTGGGTAGGGAAGGAGGATTATGGAATAGGATTATGGAATCTGACCTCCGATTCTGGCCTAGGAGATGAGCTGGGTGATGCTGCAATGGCCAAGATGGGACACAGAGGAGGAGGGGGGAGCGTTCAGGAGAGGCTGGTGCATTCAATGTAGCATCCTCTTTCCTTTGTTTTCTGTCTTCCTCCTGATACCTCATTAAAGGAGGAAGCCATCCTCATCAGCATTTCCGTCGCCCCCACATTATCCGTGATGAACCCCAATGTTAATGATTTGACCAGGACCCCCATGAGTACTCCTGGCAAGTTCAGTTTTAGATGTATGACTGGTTTATTTTAAGCCTCCGATTTTCGTCCCTCACTTTTATTTAAAGGACAAAATTCTATCGCCAGTTATCAGATGCGCATATACTTGAGGTTTCAAAGTTTGAAGTGCTGACAAAAGCTTCTCCATGTTGCAGGGTGAGGAGAGGTCTTCAGAAGTCTTGGCCTAAGTGGTCACAGGGGCACCAAGAGCCCAGGACCACTTGGCTGGTTTCAAACCAGCTGGGGCGGGCAGGAAGGCACACACTCATATTTGCTCAGTTACAATCAGCAACGACTTCTTTGTGTAAAATGATAATGAGGCCATTAGGAGAAGCTCACCTGAAGTGCAGCGTTGTGAATCCAAGGTAATTAAACACCTCCCGAATGAAAGGGAAAGGCCAGGGAAGGTTAAGTGAGGAATCATCTGCAGCACAGGTGGCCCAAGGCCTTTGAGGATCTAGAAGAGTGACAGCGGCTTGCACCAGTTCCAAGGATGGAAATGTCACCCTCGTCCCTGGGAGAGGCAGGATTTCTATTCTTCAGAGGGTGGGAAGTGGGCAATATTTTTCACATTTTAATAAAGCATGTTCTGTTTTGTTTTCACGTTGCTATTTCAAGTTGCAAGTCCATGGCAGAGTCTGCCCGGGTACTGAGTGGCCTGCATGCTCTTCGTGGGCTCTCACCATGGTGGCACTGTGTCAGGGCCACGTGTCCCTGAATGGGGAAGTCACGGTCAATGGGGTACTGACACCCACCGCTTCCAGAGCAAGGTGGTTTTCCTTGGCCCACCTCCAAGCCCAGAGAGGGTAGCCGCCCCCTCTCTGCGTATTCCCATCACTTCTGACATCCCAAAGAAGGACATCAGCCTTAGCCCTACCCTCACTCAGTTCACTGTATAGCACAGCCCCTTAGCAACAGCACAGGAAGTGTTCTCTCTACTCAGTAAACACTCCGTGGTGACTTACTAGGTGCCCAGCATTGTGCCCCACGACTTCACATGTCCTTCCAGCTTATCTTTATAAGCTCCAGCAACAGGATTTTCACCGTTCAGTTTCTGGCCTCAAAATCTCTGCTGTCCCCACATAAAAGTTTCTACATGAATGTTCATAGCAGCATTATTCATAATAGCCCCAATGTGGAAACAACCCAGACGCCTGTCAACTAGATAACCATGTAGGGTAAATAAGATGTGCTGTAGCCATACAGTGGAATATTATTCAGCTGTGAAAAAGAATGAAGGACTGATCAGCACCACAACATGGCGTAACCTTGTTTATAATGAGCATTATGCTAAGTGGAAGAAGCCAGTCAAGAGCCCAGGACCACTTGGCTGGTTTCAAACCGGCTGGGGTGGGCAGGAAGGCACACACTCATATTTGCTCAGTTACAATCAGCAACGACTTCTTTGTGTAAGATGATAATGAGGCCATTAGGAGAAGCTCACCTGAAGTGCAGCGTTGTGCATACAATAAGAGCTCTTATTGTATGATTCCATTTATATGAAATGCCCAAAACAGGTAAACCATAGAGACAGAAGGTGGATTAATGGTTATGTAGGACAGGGTGCAGGAGGAGGGGAGGAAGATTGGTGGGGAATGAGAAGTAATTGACAGTAAGATGGGTTTCTTTTTGGGGAGAAAAAAATATTTAGGGGTTGGATAATAGTTCTACAACCTTGTCATTATACTAAAAACCACTAAACTATATATTTCAAATGAGTGAATTTTATGGTATATAAAATATATCTTAATAAGCTATTTAAAAATCCCTGGGGTGCCCGGATGGCTCAGTAAGTTAAGCGTCTACCTTTGGCTTAGGTCCTGATCCCGGGGTCCTGGGATCGAGTCCTGCATCGGGCTCCCTGCTCAGTGGAGAGTCTGCTTCTCCCTCTCCCTCTGCCCTTCCTCCCTGCTCGTGCTCTCTCTCTCTCAAATAAATAAAATTTTTAAAATAAAAAATAAAAACCCCTTATCAGAAGCTTATTAAATAAAACCCATGGAGCATTTCTATTTTGTTTTTAAGATTGATTTATTTGAGAGAGCATATGCGAGCAGGAGGGGCAGAGGGAGACTCTTAAAGCAGAGCCTGACACAGGGCTCGATCACATGACCCAAGAGATCACGACCTGAACTGAAACCAAGAGTCAGACACTCAACTGACTGAGCCACCCCGGTGCCCCCAAGAAGCATTTTTAAAGTCTATGTAATCTATCCCAGACCAGCGATCCTTAATATTTTTAGTTTCACGGGTACCTTTACGGATCTGAGGAAAACTGTGGAGCCTATGCCCAGAAAAAGGATCATCACTCATTCATATTAAAATTTTGTAGGTGGTCGGCGCCTGGGCGGCTCAGTCGGTTGGGCGGCTGGCTTCGGCTCAGGTCATGATCTCGCGGTGCTGGGATTGAGCCCTGTGTCAGGCTCTCTGCTCAGCAGGGAGTCTGCTTCTCCCTCTCACTCTCCCTCTGTGTTCTCTCTCTCTGGCTCAAAAAGTTTTGTAGGTGATTCATGGGCCACCTGAATCTAATTTTTCTATTTTATCCTTCAATAATGTCAGGCCATCAGATAATCTTTTATCAAAGCCCATACAGATTCCTGAAATGTGCTCTTGATATGCTCCTGCATGCTTAAAAACAGTTGTTTGGTTTACATTTTCCCTAAGACGAAGGGAAAAAAACTCCTGACCGTACTCACAGCACTTCTGACCCCTGCCTTTCCTGCTAGCCTCGTTTCAGGCCATGTTCTCCATCATTCCCTCCCCTGGAGCCATAGTCCTTTCTATTCTCTGAGCTCCTTCTCACCACAGGCTTTTTTCCCTGAGCCTGGGACACTGTTCCTTCCCCTCTTTGCCAGGTTCTACTTCGACTCATCCTCCAGATTTCCATTCAAGCCTGATTCCCTCCAGGAAGCCTTGTTGACTTCCTCAGTGAGCTCTAGCGTAGACTCATCACAGTGGCTATATGTCACAATCATTTGATATTTTCCTCACCGGAATGTAAGCTTCACGTGGGCAGGGCCCAGGTCTGGTTTTGCTCATCGTTGGATCACCACTGACTCGAGGCTACCACATTGCCAGGTTCAAGGGGTACTTTTCACGTGGAACAAACACAGTGTGAATGGTGTGCCCAGAAGTTGTGCAGTGCGCATCCTGAGATGAATGAAAAGCATGTTAGAAATGGACCAGGAAGCTTGACGTTGTCTCTGATGTTGAGGGCAAGAGCCATCATGTCACACGTGCGGATTTCCTGCGCTGAGGATTCATAGGAGAAATCTCTCTGAGTCTCACTTTTAGGAAAATGTGTTTTCATTTGTGCAAGTGGCTTGTTTGTACTACATGGACCCAAAGAACCTCACAACTTGAGTTTCTCTTTTTGCTTTGACCACTAGCAGGCTCTTAAATCAAATTTGCAGGCCAGTTGTAGCCACCATGTAAGACCTTATAGCTTACGTTGATATACGAAATATTTCTGGCTGCTTTTCCCAGTGCCATGGCTTTCTTGCCTATTTTTCTAAATCTCTTGAGTACATTTCTATAAACTGCCACGATTCCTTTAGAGAATGAAGGATATAAGAATATATATTTATACATCTGTTTACCTTATATTTAATAAACATTTAATTTATAATATATTCAATAAATCTATATCACATGTGTTTATATATTTAATGTATAACTAGAGTATGAGGTGTGAGGTATATATGTTATAAATAAGCCATTCATTTCCAATATTTTTAAGTAATTTGAAGAGGGAGTAGAATTGGAACTAAAAAAATTTGTGTTGTCTGGGCTTAGATTATAAGACTTTCAATTCATGTTCCAATTGGCCACTTCTTGGGTTTGTTCCTCTCTCTGGGATTGTTTCGCCCTTGTAAGACAGGAACGCCGATCCCTTCCTTGCAAGATTGTGGAAAGAATTAAATTAGAAAATGTATGTGAACGCACATACCCAGCACACTGAAACTACTCAGAAAGTAGCTTTGTGTTTGCTCTTATTCGATACACTCTGTTCAGTTTCAGAAACCTGTCCTAATACTGAATGCAGTTTTGTTCTCCAGAAGCTGAGGTATTAAATCCATCCCCCTTCCAGGGAATTTCTAGAGCTCCGTATGTAGGGGCTTAGCCAGCCATCCGCCCACCCTGCGCTCAACCCGTGTCTCCTTTCTCTCTGTCACCAGATCTCTTCCCTGAAGAACCGGCTAAAGAAGGTGTCCACAACTACTGGAGACGGTGTGGCCAGGGCCTTTCTCAAGGCCCAGGCTGCTTTCTTCGGCAGCTACCGAAATGCTCTGAAAATTGAGCCGGTGAGTAGCTTCTTGGCATTTATAAGTTGTTTGGTCCGGGCTGAGAAATGTGCCTCAGGGGTCACAGGGAATCAGGTCTTCATCTGGTGGTTGAATTCACCCAGAAGGGGTTGTGCGTCTGTGTTGTGAGGGGCCAGGGGGCTGCCCTCCCTTTGCCCTTCCTCTTAGCGTGAGGAAGCCATGCCGCTATGTGTGAAGCACTCACTGTTCCAGTGCACGTTAAGACCCGTCCCCTCCCTGGACAGTAGCGCCAGCTGCGTGTTAAGACAGTGCCCAGACCTCTCACACGCCTGCTCTCTGAGGATCCTTTCCACTTGACAAATGGGGAAACTGAGGCTCAGAAGAGACATGACTTGCTAACCAGCGGAGGAGCTGAATAGTCCGAAAGCCGATGCTTTCCCTCTGTGTCTCAAAGCCCTTTTCCTCTAAAGGGGCCTCTACTCCACACTCGAGAAAGCAAGGTGTCCCAGGGATTCACTGCTCAGGTGCTCCCAAAGTGCTCTTGGTGTATTGACTACACGGTGTGCCACGAACTGGGGAATAATGTTATCCCCCTCTGTGGCCCTTCAGCCTTCCTGAGCCTCAGTAGCCTCATCCATTCCCCTGCCTGCCCTGTGAGGTGGGAAGTTATATGAAGATACGAAGGTATCAGATCAACCCTAAAAACAAAGTACCAACTCTCCCGGCTTCAGTGAGAAGCTTTCATCTGGTAACGCCTACTCCTGGCCTCTTGGCCACAGAGAATGGAGAACTTGGCCTGGGGGTCCTGGGTCACCATGTATAGGAGGGAACGCTGGAGGGCGACCTTGCCCACTGCCCTTTTCTCTCAAGAGCACAGAGCTCCCTTCATTCTGAGCCGGTGGGTGACGGCAGCCGTGTCCAGCCTGGTTGCAGTGGGTGTGAGGAACCAGCATAGGTCGCATGCCTATGGGCCAGGGCTGTTTGTTTCTGGTTTTAACCCACAGCATTTTTATTATATTAAATGACAAAAGTTGAGTTATATGTCAGGCAGTGCGTTTCATGTGCAAACTCTGACAGTGAATCTTGCTTATGCTTCCCCATGAGCCACAGTTCTACATTGTTAAGAATTTTTTTTTTTTTTTTGCTACTATGACTCCATCATGTGTCTAAATGAGACCCAGAGTAATAGTAAACACCTTGTTTTCCCTTCACCCAGGGCATACTCTCTGCCAAGTGGGGGGCTCAGGAAGCAGCAGACTAATGCCACCATCCTCCTTGTTCCTTGTCTCCCGTCCAGCACTTAGGCCTGACTTTCTAAGCTGCCTCAGCTTCAGGCAATGTCATGGTCACATAACAGAAGGGATGTACTCTCTTTTTGCTTCCTTAGAACTACTTCCCTGAGGTCCTCTAAAGCCCTTAATTAAAGCAAGTTCCCCATGTCCTGCTTATCTTCAAGTGAGGCAGCCCTGATTTTTTGTCCTGACCTTGGGCCCAGCCAAACCAGTCAGGTCTAGTGCTAATTTGAGAGCTAGTATAATTCAAGAAAAATACTGTTGTCTTCCCATCTCTAAAAGGAGACTGGGATAACTGGCCCAGTCCTTCCCTTGCATTGCTGGGAACTGAAAGACATGAGGTATTTCCACTCTTAAAATGATCTCATTATTGTCATATATGCGTCTCGAATCCAGAGACTGTTGAATCTTGGTAGGGGATTGCTGGATATATGATCTGGGCACAAGTTGCTCCTCAGAAGAAGTTTATGGTTGTACTTGCTCTTGGCTCTAAAAGTCATTGGGTTTAAGCACGGAAGCCCTGGAGTTCAAAGCCGTGCTCTGCACTTCTAAGCTGTGCGACCTTGAACAAGCCACTTAATCTCTTTAAACTTCAGTTTCTTCACCTGTGAAATGAGGCTAAGAATACCTATCATTCTACATCTCCAGATGGTTATAAGGATCAAATGAGCCATAAAATGTTTCATAGGGAAGGTGAAACTTGACCTGGGTCTGATGGCTTAGGTTTGGAAAAAGACAGAGCATTCCTTCATGTGGCGGGTGTGGAGTTAACTGAGTGAGCAAAGGCTTGGAGGCAGTACCGCTCATGGCCACTTTGTCTGGGGTCATGGGTTTGGGTAGGGAAAGGGTAGGAGAGCTTGGAGCCAAATTTGACAGAGCCTGGGATGCTAGGCTAGAAGTGTGAACTTCACCCTGTAGGGAATGTCAGTTTTTGAGCAGAGATACAGTAAGACTGAAGTCATGTTTGACCAGTGATACAGTGATGGACTGAAAGGGGAGTTGGAAGCAGAGACCAGGGGACTGTCCGGGAGACTCAGAAGAGAGCCCTCTGGTGGTGACACCAGGAAGACGTACCATGAAGAAGAAAGGACTAAATGAATCTGAGAAGATACAAAATATGGGAGACGAGGGGCAAGAGATGTCAAAATAACTGCCAAGATTTGGACCAAGGAGAAAGTGATGATGCCCATAAGTAGAACAAGTGAAAACTTAATGCAAAGGTGTTCCCGGTAGGAGCACTGATGATGGTAAAAACATGGAACAGACTTAAGTATCCATAACAGGAAACTGGTTAAAGAAATTGAAATATATCCATATGCTAGAATATTATATAGTCATTAAAAGTAGCATTTTGAGGATAGGATGATGGGTTTGGTTGTAAACAAGGTACATTTCATTGAGTCTAAGCTGCCATTCAGTCATAGATGTACCATTACGAAATGGGAAAGGGTGCAGCCAATCACAGTTGGATTCCATCAGTTGTAAGACACATCCAGATTTCAGAGATGTTATGGTGTGAAGAAATCTGCGTCTTAGACTCAGTGAAATATGGCAGATTTGTCATGCTTTCAGTCCCATTCATCTCCCAAATAGCTTTTTTTTTTCCTGGAAGTCCAGGAGGGAAGCCAGAGGGCCTGCAGTTTTCTGGCCAAGCATCATCACCATGTTACGATGGTTTTTAAACCATAGATTTAATTCTAGGCATTTCTCCTTACCTGAAAGATGGGCTAACAATACTTCCTATGCAAGATTGTTTGGAGAATTAATGAAAATAATTGACTGCAAAGCACATGTGAGCCCAAGAAGGGATGAGGGTTGGTGGGCACTGGCCACATGGGGTGGCGTGGGGAACGGTACCTTGGGTGAGCCTGTTTTGGATGGCAAGTAGGGCCACTTGTCTTTTAGTTGTTTCTCTGGTCATAAAAAATAGCACCTGCTCTTGGTAAAAAAAAGCTTAAAGTAACAGAGAACTAGAAATGAGAAAATACCCATAATCCTATCATCTGGACTTAAGGCAACATGTTAGCATGTTTCTACCTAGGCTGTAGGGTTTGGGGGTTGTTTTCATTTCTTTTCGGTTTTGGTTTTTGGTTTTGGGTTTTTTACTTAAAGACAGTTGAGATATTCCTGGCAAAGCAATCCAGTTCCCAGTTATTTGGTTTTGCCTTTTAGCATGTCTTAAGCATTTTTTCACCTGATATAAAAACTCTCCTTAAACATCATCACTTATGATGGCAGCACATATCCCATCAGGTGACCCCAGTTGTTCTCAACCCTGGCGTGGATCAGAATCACCTGTGGGGCTCTTAAAAAGGCAAGTGTCTGAGATTTTTATCAAGTTCCCCCAATCTGCAATCAGTGCTGAAGCTCATCACATTATCCTAACGCTGGTTCTTTTGATGGTCGGTCACCTCTCACCATTTTAAATCACACTGTGATGAACATCTTTATAGAAATCTTCGTGCACGGTCTGAACCATTTCCTGAGGCGAAATCCCTGACGTCGATTTACTCGGGCAGAGGATCCGAGTACACGGAAGCCTTTGCTGTAGAAGGTGAGGGAGAAAGCTGGCGGCCAGAAGCAGGTGCTAGTCTCGGGGGGAGAGCCTCTGAGGCAGATGGCAGGGCAGGGCCCAAGCAGCAGCCTTGCGTTTGGAGAACGTTCCGCGGCCGATGGTGGAGGGCGCCAGCAGGGTGGAGGGCCCGGAGAAGCATGCGTGGGTGTGGGGGCACAACAGACAGGGCTCCTGTGGCTCGTCCTCTCTGGCTGCTTTGTCACGTGCCCACAGCATTCGCCCCACTGCGGTGGGGTGGCTTCCCACCCTGGGCCAGCGGGTGCAGTCACGGGACTCAGGTCACTGTGAAGTCACAGAGTTTGGATTTTTTAAAACATGAAACGTGACAGACTAGACTGTGCTCCTTTCTACTCTGCTTGGCGGACAGCTCCCGCTGCGCCCCTCGGTGCCCCGCCTGGCTCTGGGAGGGGGCGAGCCCCAGCCGGGCGGGGGGCGGGGGGGCCGGGATGCGCCGCTCCAGCCCCGCGGCCCAGGGCTCACCGGAGACTTTTAACTCTTTGGCTTTTTTTTTTTTTTTTTTTTTCCTTTCCTACTGGAAAAATTTCAAAATGCAGCTGGCTGGGGAATCTCGAGCTTCGTTTCCGGGCAGGGGAAGGCAGCCCCCTGCTGAGGCCGGCTACATGCCAGAGCGGCCCTGCTCCCCGTCCAGGCCTTGCTCCGTGCCCGGGCCGGAGGGCCTGCGTCGGCTCACTGGCAGTGTCTTCTTCGGGGCCAGGTGAATTATTTCTCCCAAGGGCCAGAGTGGGATACCAGGCGTGTCCCGTTACAGCCAAGTCTACCTGCTCAGTGGCCTCCCACAAGGCTGGCTGGAGCTCGTTCATCTCCCGGGTGCTCCACTTCTCCCCTACAACTGCCCCGTTCCTGTCCACGTTCCAGGTGGGGAATAAAGGCTGAGATTGCTGGTGACTTCCTGGTGAGTGGGAGAGCCAGGAGGCCGACTCAGGTCGGCCTGACTCCAAAACTCAGGTTCCTTCCACCACACCCTCTTGCCTGTCTTTGTTCTGGTTTCCTCAGGCTCCATGTTAACAACTCTCTCTGCATTTCCAGCGCCGGGCCCGGGTCGTGGCAGAGTCCAGGCGTCAGGGAGTAAATTTGGGAATAGCGGGTGGAAGGATGGGTGAGGGAAAGCAAGGAACAGAGAAGTGTGTGAGGCCGGGGTTGTGTTCAGTGTG